GGACTACATTTCTGACTAGATACCAGATGGGCCTATGGCTACATCATATTGCAGAGTTCTAAAATTATAAACAAGCAGCTACATTAAGAAATAAGAACACAAATAAAATCGATAACCATGTCAGTGAAGAAAGAGCCTTACAGGATACATTAGAATTAATCATGAAATTAAAACACTAGCACATAGATGCTGCCATAATACTTGGAAACAAATGACTGAAAGACTGCATGGATTCTGGAATTTTAGGCATTATTCTTCATTTATAATTATTTTTCAATGGCTGATTCATCTGGTAAATACTTTTAAGTACAGGCACACATCTGTGGAATTATTTAACTTGTAAAATAGCTTTTCTAGTATCCTAATTTTTCAATAAGAAACATCTACTGAACACCAACTACAGATTGGATGTCATGACAAAAATAAATAAAGCTTCCTAACCTTAAGGAGGTTACATGTTAAGTGCTATTATAGAAGTCATCTTCTTCCTTTGTAAACTGGCTCCTTTTGCCTCTTATTCTCCAGACGGGATGGTTGTTCCAATTTAGGAATCCTGGGATGACAACTCCTTCTTCATCCCCTCTTTTCTAGCTCTACTTCCACTGCCTCAGTATCTCTCTCCTGGACTACCATATCAGTGCCTTCACTGGTCTCCCTAGTTCTGGTCCTGTACCACGTGATATATGACTATTGACTATGCCTGTCACTTACATGATATCTAACTCAAGTTTCTAGACAAGCACACAAAGCTTTCCATGATCTGATGCACGCCTACCTCTTCAGACTACATTCCTGCTACATCCCTTTACATTTTGAACCACTACTAGAGAACTCAGTAAAGTTTTCTGCTTAACACTCACTTCTCCGGCTTTATTCTTCCTATCGTCCATTTACGACAACAACAAAAAACACTGGAACATATTCTTTAAGATTTAGTTTCAGGGTTACTTTTTCCAAGAAGCCTTCTCTAGGTCCCTGTCTCTCTTTAGGTTGAGCTACTTAGTTATTTCCAGAATGCCCTCAGAATATCACAATCATTTTGTGTAGTCAGGGGATTAAACACAGCAGAATCATCTGGGAACTTGTCAGAAATGCAGCATCTCAGACTCACACTCAATATCACACTCCTCAGCTACTGCAATATACTTTAACAGGCTACTTCACAGAATACTGCAGCACCTATTTGGCTTACCATTAGACTTACAGCTCCCATAAAGTAAATATCTAAGATCTCAGGTTCTCTGCTGCTCCTACACATTAAACACCATACACTCAATTAAGAGTTAACGACTTTACAGAGGACAGGGATACACAGGAATATTCATCTAAAAATACAACAACCCAGGCTTATGCAATCAGAATCTGCATTTTAACAAGATCCCCAGGTGATTCACATGCACATTCGATTGGGGATCACTACTATAAAAACTGCGTATCTGTTTCTCCTATAAGGCAGCAAACAGTCTCTAACTTTAGCCTGCATTAGAACCACCTGAGATACTTGTCATAAGGCAGACTCCCAAGTCCCACACAGAATCTAATGAAGGTCTGGGAAGGGGCATTTTTATAAGCAGACAGAAGTCATTACTTAGAGCCTCCCACCACGACACTTTGAAAGATGTACTGCTAGACTGTGATATACTTAATGTAAGGGAGAAAATAAAGAACAAAGTAGTTGCAGAATGGGAGGCAGCAGAGAGGTTACGACACAGGATACACAGGGAAAATAGAGGGACATGAGAATACAAAGGCTAGTTAGATTGCAAATGCCTTGTGAAATAAAAGCTAATTGCCTAAACCCTTCTTCTAGAACAGCTGGTTCCGCAAAATAACAGAAAACTGTCATACTTTGTTCCTTAATAAAAAGGACTACTCTAATTCCTATTACCCAAATACAAATGGCACAATAACTCATAACCACACAAAACTACCTAAACTACTTATAAAAGAAATCTGGTAACTGATAAAGCTTCCAATCTAAGATTTAATATTTACTTGAATTATAAAACTAGTAACTATCATTTTAAGAAGTTAATATAAAAGAAAAATCTCTCATGAAACAGAAAATACACTTTATTTTCATAAAGTCACTGTTACTAGAAAAGTAAAAATTATTCCTATTAGGCTAAAAGAAACAGGGAAATAGAGTAATTTTGCCAAAATGGTGAGTGAGAAAATAAGTGTCTAAATATCCTGTCTAATATTAGCCTTCTCAAAGGCCAGCTTTTTCATACCTATTGGTTAAAAAAAAAAAAAAGAATAGAGGAACACCTGAATCACTGGTTTAACACTGTTTCCCTGTAGTTAGACGCATGGGGAGGCACTCTATAAATGACTGTGGAATTTAAGTGCAATACCTCAGAATTGTGGCTTGCCCCATGTATTGCTTTTCTTACAAGTCAGCAGAAACTTTGTGACCAGTCACCTTTGCTGAAAAGGTTGGGCTTCTTCACAAGCATCTTAAAATCAGTATTGAATCACATGCACCACCAAAGAACTTAGTGCTAAAGAAACTACTGTGAATCAGGAAAGAGAAAAACTTAAAATCACTACAGAAACTGATATAAGCAGTTACCCTAAATGCAGTTATTAAGTGAGCGCTAAGAAAACCAAAATGACATAAAAATTATATTCATGTGATGAACACTAGACATAAAGGGATATAATATTGCTTAACCAATGCACCAAGGTGTTATACAGCTATCATCTAATATATGACACCTGGTGTCAATCCTATGCTTATATTAAAGTTATTAAATCAATTGTTAAATGAGTTGAGTCAGAAAATTTGTGCTGTTTAACTTATGCTGTGAGCAGAATTACACAGTTTAATGCCAATGTGCATTATTCTATAGGGATTTGTCCAAACTGGAATTTTATAGAACAGGGCAAACGCATTGGCATTTTGAAAATGCAATCACAGACATACAGTGATAGCTGCAAGCAAAGTTCAACTGCATAACAATCACAATTTAACAACAGGACTTATACACTGCATGTAACAAAACAGCAAATATACACCATAAACATGCATACTATGTATCAATAACAAAAATACAATGGAAGACTTTTTATCCAAATGCTTCGAATTCACATAAAATTAATCCCCATTAAGATATAAATGATTTATCAACATTTTAAAACATATCACTACGATCATAATCTTTCGGCTTGGAAATCTTTAAGAATCTGTTCATCCTTCAGGATTCAGCTCACATTATTCAACAAATATTTCTTAGTGCTTCTCATATACCAAGTACTATTTAAGGTCCTAGTGCAATGCTGACCAAAAAGACTAAGATGTTGCGAATGTTGAAAGAGAAAAAATTGCCACTGGCCAATATGGCAACTGAGCACTTGAAATGTGGTGGCAAATGTAAACAGAATAACTTAATTTTTAATTTGAATTAATTCAAATCGAAATAGCCAAATGTGGGTAGTGGCTATCAGGTTGGACAGGGCAGCCCAGTCCTAAGTACAAAGGTAAACAAGATAGACAAAAAAGTTACCTTTGTGAAGTTTATAATTCAGTGTAATAGAAAGACATTAAACAAATAAACCAATAAATATGTAATGTAAGGTGGTAATTGAAAGTGGTCCCTTTGGGAAGAGTGTTTAAGGAAGGCTTCTCTAAAGAAATGTGGATTACATACATGCCTGTCCATATACTCCTACGAACCCTTCACTAACAAATAGCACAGAACTCTATACAAATGCTTTTCTTGGTCAGCTGTACTCTAGCACCTACCATAATATAGTTCTTGACCAAGTGTGTAGAAGTAATCCACAAAGCTCCCCAAACTGATCCAGTCATGTAGTGTTCAAAATACACCAGCAATTCAGAATTTAGAAAACGTGGAAAGAGAACACAGCAAAAACAATCTGCTGTTTCCTCCTATCTAGTCTCATACAGCTTTTGAGCCTCACTTCAAAACACAGCAATGCGGAACAAAGATCTCCTTTCTTTCTTCTCATCCCCAGCTTTTACTGTGAACGAAGTCGCTTAGACTCTGCTGCATCACACTCCTCAGCTATTGCAACACACCTGTAACAGGCTGCTTCACGCAACACCGCATCTCTTTTGCCTACCATTATAGTTCCCATAAAGCAAGTTTCTAAGACCTTAGAGGTTCTCTGCCGCTCCTCCACATAAAACACCATACAGACACTCAATTAAGAGTTAATGACTTTACAGAGGATACGGATGCACAGGAGAGTATTCATCTAAAAATACAACATACTTTGTCCTTTTCCTTTTACACTCGGAAGTAATGAGGCAAAGTGACAGGCTCTAGAAGAGGGAGTAAAAAAGCAGCTCAGAGTTGCCAGAAAAAATGAGAAGTGAAAAAGGCAGAACCTGGATATTCCACAGCCCTCGACGTACAGTCTTCCAGACCTTCCAACCGTACCTCTGGGGAGTGAGGGTGACCTCAAGCCCGCTTGGAATCAGCCAGTGCCGGGTGGGTGGCGGCGCAGCCCCTTCCAGCGCCCAGTTTGCGGTCCGACTCCGCCGCGTCTTTCCGCGGGGGCCCGGGCCTTGTGCCAGCCTGGCTGACTGTGGCCACGAGTTACCTGCTTGTCTCGAGTGAAGAATAGCGCTCCGGCAAAACCTGGAGGCAGCGCTGGAAAAACCGCACGTGCCGATCCCGCAAGAAATCCAGCCGCTCTCCCTCACCGCTCCCCGCTAGCTTCTCGTCCTCAGTGGCCGCCATGCTGCTCCGGAAGCGACGTCCGCCGCAACCCGGAAACAGTTGGCCGGCGGAGAGAAACCACCTTCCTGGGCTGACCCGGAGTTCTCGGGTGCGGGGACCTGCGCCCGCCGCAGACTAAGCCAGTATTTGAAACAGCTGTCATCTGGGTCTTGTGCAGCTCCGCTCCCCGGTATCTCCTCAGCTAGCGCATGACCCAGCCTTTTCTACTCAAAGCCCTCGAGGCTTGCAAACACCTCACAGGCCTTGTGAAAATCCAGTCCACAAATCCCTCCGTCAGAATTTTTATCTTGGGAAGCGCAAGGTCAGAAGCATCAAGTTCGCTTTGAGACAGTTCTGGCTCTCTAGAACGTGAGAATGGTATATCTGAAAACGGGGATGGATCAGTATAAACTTGCTAACAGATTCATTTTTGGAGGGCCAGTTTTAAGCCGAATGGTTAGGGAAACTAAATCAACAAAAAGCAAAAACAAAACAGTGGAAATAAATGTTTATTGACGCTACAAAAGTTCAGAGACTTTCCTAATCCTCTCTGGATACCAGGAATCAATTACAAATATGCGTATGCCACACACACATACAACAGGTGTATTCATACCTATGTGTGACTGCTTGCCTCATTCTTTTACAAATCTTGTAGAGTTTACTTTCCTTGAGTTGAAGTGTTATCAAGAATCAATGGTGCATTAATCTGCAACAGCAAAATAAGATCAACATCTTCTGCAATTACCTGCAAACTAAAAAAATTAAACATGCTTCTAGTTTTTTGTTTTCTAAAAATAGGGATTTAAGTTGCTTTAGGCGTTATACTGTGCCTTTTAAACTTTCCTGAGGCATTCCTGGGTAGCGGGGGTGGGGGTGGGGTGGAATCCACCCAACAATAGAACTAAACTAGGTTTCCTGTAATCAACTTAGCTAATAGAATTTTTAGTATAATTTTGTTAGCTTTTCTAGAAAGTGTAATTTTTTTTTTTTTTTTTAGACGGAGTCTCGCTCTGTCGCCAGGCTGGAGTGCAGTGGTGTGATCACAGCTCACTGCAACCTCCGCCTCCTAAGTTCAAGCGATTCTCCTACCTCAGCCTCCCCAGTAGCTGGGACTACAGGCGCTCACCACCACGCCTGGCTTATTTTGTATTTTTAGCAGAGAGGGGGGTTTCACCATGTTGGCCAGGATGGTCTCATCTCTTGACCTTGTGATCCACCCGCCTAAGCCTCCCAAAGTGCTGGGATTACAGGCGAGAACCACCACGCCCAGCCAGAAAATGTATTTCTTTAAAAAAAAAACAAAAACAACAACAAAAAACAAAACAACAACAAAAAAAACCAGCTCTATGGACTGGGGTAATCTTACTCTTATTCAACAATCCGAAGTGCTCTGAATAATTTTTGGTACTAGTAACTACTTATTCAAAGGTATTCCCGCATGTCTTTACAGCCAGAGATGGATACTAGGCTGTCCTGGGTACTTTCCTACAAATATGGAGCTTACAGTCCTTGGCCCTTCAGGTGTGCCCAGTCTGGAGTTTTAACTATTACAATTAAGATCTCACACCTAACACACATACCCCCAAATGTCTGAAGGTGTTCAAAGTGGAGTCTTATACACGTTTAACTTACTGGAATCAGCTATGGATACTTTACACATTCTCAGAAAATTAATTCTAATAAACATGACCCTTAAGATAGGGATGCCAAATATTTCATCTGATTCTCAACTCAAGGACTAGTAATCTGACCCAAATCTGGAGGAAAATTTGCTATGTGGGACTCATTGAGAGATAATATAGTATGCCTCCTAGGTCAGTAAAAGGCTTTCCATGAGTGATTTTAGCTGTACAAGATTTTTGGCACATGCATAATAGAATGGGAATAATAGAACATATATATATAATTGAACATTATTTAGCTATTACATGATGTTTGAGTTACGTAGAAACATAGAAAAATATGTGTAATGCCATTATGGCATAGTAATTAATGTACTATATGACTAATAATTTTAAAATATGTAGGTATGTTTTTTGAAAAAGTTACCCTGGAATTATGGGTACTTTATATATTTCTTGTTTTTTTCCATATTTCTTATTAATGTACTTTTTTTTCCCCAGGCTTACTCCACTTTTTTTTCTTGTATAAAAACTATATTGTAGCCACTGCCAGAGCCTGGGTCCTCTGCATGGAGACTCTTGTGTGGGTCTTGAGCAGGCGGTCAGTGAATTGCTGATAGGGAGACTTGGTGAATACTCTCCTTCCAGAGGTCAGGGGTCAGGTTGCTGTAGGCCTTAGAGATGGCATCAAAGGTGACCTTAGCAAGTTGCCCTGGATGGCAGTGCAGCCCCTGACTGAGGTGTAGCAGTCACCAGTACTAGCCATCATCAGCATCTTCTTAGCCAAGGGGGCCAAGACGATGCCAGTGCCCCTGGGCAAAGATGCACCAGCACAAAACCATGGCAGCCTGTCACCTTGCAAGGGATGGTGGACGGTGTGGGGCTTGCCAACCTTGTTCCGCCAGTAGCTTCTGCGCATGGGGACAATGGAGAGGGTGGCCAAGATGATGGCCCTGCGAATGGCAGTGGCCACCTCCTTGGAGCACTTAACACCTAGCCCGATGTGGCCATTGTAGTCCCGGATGGCAACAAACACCTTGAACCTTGTGCACTGGCATGTCTTCAAAACCTCTTCCTAGAGAGAGAGCTCCAGGAAAAAGTCAATGATCTTAGTCTCCTTGATGGGTAAAGAGATAGATCTTCAGGGACATAATCTTCATGTCCTTGATCTGGCGGCCCAGCTTGGTGACAGGCATCCACTCCTGTCCTTGGCCTTGCCTCCACGAGCTCCGCAACCCTACCCCAGCCCTGGCCACTGCTGCAACCCCAGTTCCCCATCCCAGGGCCCCCCAGGGCCTCCAGGCCTCCCAGGCCCCCCACCGCAATGGCGTCATCTGCCATTTGGTGTTTCCTTGAGAAGAAGCTAATGTACTTTTTAAACCAATATAAGAAATGTTTATTTGACATCTTGTCTATGAACCTGTAATGTCTATGAACTCTACAACTGAAGACATTATCAATTGTATTTATCTTACATCCTTTATATAAAGGATCTATATAATAAATTCATCATTTATTTCAGATTCAGCTAGAAAGACTGATTTCTTTAGAGGAATTTCCATACTTTTCTTTATTTAAAAAAGGAAACAAATCAAAAAACAAAGCCATAAGAATCACATCATCCAGAATGCTTACCTTAGACACAGGAATTTGAAAGCTGCATTTGCGTGCAACAAAAAGCAACACGTAAAAAAGCAACACATAAAAAACATTTTCTGTATCTTGTAGTTTCTCAGTTCTGCTTTTAAATTTCCTCATCTTGGCTCTATATCTTATTTATTTATTTATTTATTTATTTGAGATGGAGTCTCCCTCTGCCGCCTAGGCCGGAGTGCAGTGGTGCAGTCTCAGCTCACTGCAACCTCCACCTCCCAGGTTCAAGCAATTCTCCTGCCTCAGCCTCCTGAGTAGTTTGGATTATAAGTGTACCACACCAGGCTAATTTTTGTACTTTTAGTAGAGATGGGTTTCACCATGTTGGCCAAGATGGTCTCAAACTCCTGACCTCAAGTGACACGCCTGCCTTGGCCTCCCAAAGTGCTGGCATTAGAGGCCTGAGCCACCGCACACGGACTCTTTGTTTCTAAACTACTTCAAATCATTACAAAAAAGTTTTGGAAAACAAGTAACAAATAAAACCAGCACTCCTGTTTAAGGATCTTTTATGTGAATTTTCTCATTTTGCACCAATAATTATATAAATCAGAATTCAGTTTCTAATATTTGAAAGCCATCTGCTCTATTAACTATAAGAAAAGATTTTGACTGCTACTTACAGTACATTTGAGTCATTTAACCTAAATGTATCACATTAACAATAAAGATAATCTAAGATAAAAATTATAAGAAATAAATTTCCTACGTTTTTATGTATATAGTATCTTTCCCATAAGATGAGAACAAATTGAAGTTAGAAAGGAATATTTTATAATATGAAAAGTTGAACTGTATTAAATTACATTGTGTTTTCATATATAAAAGTTAAGAAATTTCAGAACTAAGTATTTTGACCAAATATGTTAATCCAAGAGCTTTAAAAGACCTTTTCATTCATTCCTTCATTCATTCATTTTAGAGACAGGGTTCAGATTCTTACCCAGGCTGGAGTGGAGTGGTGCCATCTGAGCTCACTGCAACCTGGAAATCCTGGTTGCAAGTGATCCTCTCACCTCATCTTCCCAGGTAGCAGGGACTATAGGTTTGTGCCACTGTACCCAGTTAATTTAAAAAAAATTTTTTTTGTAGAGACCAGGTCTCCCTATGATGCCCAGGCCAGTGTCATACTCTCAGCCTCAATTCTCCTACATTGACCTCTGCAAGTGCTGGGATTACAGGCATGAACAACCATGCCCCACCTAAAACATTTTAAGTGCCATCAGGAAAAATCATAGTTTTCTAAAGTGGCTTATTTCAGATGATGTTTCAGACAAAGAATTTTCCTATTTTGAGGCAAACAGAAGCAGAAAAGAAAACTGCATTAGCCAGGAAGATGTGAAAGACACAAAGATTTTATAAATAGGTGAAATCCAGAAAGGCTGAAGGAAAATTTGGAATTGCTAAAGGAAACCAAAAAGAT